TAATTTTTTTTAATTAGATTTTTCATATATATCATGCAAATCTTATTTCTTTTTAAACTTATATATTTGTATTTATCAAGTAGATTATAAAAAACAATATATATCAAAATTGTTCTTCAATATTAATAATACATGTGTAAAAATATTTTTAGTTCAAATAGACTTCGGTTTACATATTCAAATCGTTATAGATTATAATATTTTGTTTTTATATAATAATCATTTTTGCTCTCTTAATCTTCTCAGCAAACAATTTTAAACTCGATAATCTCTTCCACGAATTTTATTTCAGATTTTTAATTATAAAATAACATCAATTATCCTCTTATTCAATATGTGAGATAAATAATGACGATCTAATTGTAGTATTTTCATTTGTTTCGTGCAAGTTGAAACTAAAGATTTGTGCATCATTCGCTTCTTGCAAAATTTGAAAATCAATTATGTGAAAGAAATCTTATTAAAATTTGCAATTTTAGTGTGCAACTAAAAATATGAGATTTAATTCGTCAAAATTTTGAAAACTAGATATATGAGTAGATATATAAAAAAATAATAACCTAATTCAATTAGGAATAAAAAACTAATTATTTGAAAATATTTGACAAATTTAAATGAAAAAATATTATCTTATTATATAATTAAAAGAGTCAAATTAAAACTACTTAATAACGGTGAGACTTCTCTATTAGTGATCTTGCATTTTTCAATTTTGTTCTTTTTCAAATATTATAAGATATTTTTCACATATTATAAGATATTTATAGAACTGAAAAATTCAAATAGGAAAATAAGAAATTAATTCAAATATAAAAAAAAAACATTGTAGTGAAGTAATAAAAAAAAATTACTTTATACGTGATAAAATTTAGAAATTACTTGGAAAACAAATAAGAAAAACAACCAAGATAAAAAAATTAACTCTTAAATTATTTTATATCAATATTTTTAGTTTTATTTTGTTTATTTTTATGGATTATTTTTTTATTTTTTTGAATTTTGTTTTTTCACAGGTTATAAAATATTTTATCGAAGTTATAAAATATTTTATGACAAATCCGCATATATGCGGATCCTTTACCTAATATATATATGTACCATATGTTATAAGCTTTTCTATCTATTTAATTAATAATATATATAATATGATAGAGATAAAACTTTAGAACTGTTTTATATATGCATCATGTTATAAACTTTTATTTATATTAATTGATAATATATTTTTGTGTAAATATGTAATAAATATTTAGGAGCTTACATAAAATATGGAATATAATTTCATATGTTATAAATATGTTATTAATTTTATTTTATCATTTATTGATATTAAAATATTAAATGTAGACATAAAATATTTATCATAATATATATATATATATTAAATTTAATTTAGGAAATTGTAATTTTATTTTTAAAGTATCACAATCAAAATCCTACCGCTCTAAATTCTACAGCCATAGCAAAAAAACCTACAGCTTAAATCCTACAGCAAATAATCTAAAGTTACAGCCATTACCAGTGGAGCCCTTGATGTTACATTTAATGACAAAGATGAAATAAAATTCGTGGAAGAGATTATCAAAATTTTAAATTGTTAGGTGAAAAGATTAAAAACGCACAAACGCTTATTATATAAAGATAAAATATTGTAATTTATGACGATTTGGATATATAAACCTAAGTCTATTTGAACTAAAATGTTGTTACACATGTATTATTAGAACAATTTTAATATATATTGATTTTAATAATCTACTTGATAAATAAAATTTTGTAAGTTTAAAAAGAAATAAGTTTTGTATTATATATGTCGTAAAATTTAATTGGAATTTTTTTAACACATGTCAAAATCTAATCGATCAGTTGACACGTATCACGATGATGTTCTAAATAATTAAATTTTCCTAACTTATTTAAATTACATTTAGATTTTTCTAAGGGGAAATTGCAAAAATGTCACCTTTTATATGCACATTTGCAAAAATACCACTTACGGGTGTTCAATTGCAAAAATGTCACT